TATTTGTCTTGGTGTGGGCCTGTTTGGGTTCTTCTTACTTGAGACTTTCTGTGCTTCTTGAACTTGAATGCCTTCTTCTTTCACCAAATTAGGAAAGTTTTCTCTCACTATTTCTTCAAATATATTCTCTAACCCTTGCTCATTTTCTTCTTTTTCGGAGACTCTTATGATGTGAATATTATTATGTTTCCAGTTGTCCAACAGTTCTCTTAAGCTGTCTTCCTGTTTTTTAATTGTTTTTTCCTTTTGGTTTTCTGATTGGTTGATTTTTTTCTACCTGTCTTCTGATTTACTGATCCGGTCCTCAGCTTCCTCTACTCTGCTGGTTAGTCCTTTCAATGTGTTCTCTATTTCTGCTATGTCATTCTTCATTTCCACTTGGTTGGTTTTCAATGTTTCTATATCGTTACTCATGGTGCTGATGTCCTTACTTATGCTGTTGAGCTTCCTCAAGATCATGGCTCTGAACTCTACCTCTAATAACTTGCTTAACTGCATTTCATTTATCTCATCTTTGGTAGAGGTCTCTTGTTCTTTCAATTGCGATTTGTTTCTTTGTTTCACCATTTTGGTTATTTCCGTGGGTTTTGGAGCCTGCCAAATTTTCCCTGTGGGTGTTGATGTTCTGCTGTTTGTGGCTCCCTCTACTGCAGCAGTTCTCAACCTGTGGGTCATGACCCTTTGGGGGTCGAATGACCCTTTCATAGGGGTTGCCTAAGACATAACAGTAGCAAAAATACAGTTATGAAGTAGCAATGAAAATAATTTTATGGTTGTGGGTCACCACAACATGAGGGTCACGGCATTAAGAAGGTTGAGAACCACAGTTCTATGGGGTTTGGATGAGCATGGGAGGACCCACGTTAAACACCACTGTCAAGTCTTACTTTCCTGGGCATATTTGCAAGCCCAGGAAAGGTTCAGTTATTCTCTAGCTTTTTACCTGAATGCTATTAGTGTCAGTTACTTGAAGAGCCTTGGGTTTTCAGCTGAATGAAAAACTCCCTCAGGTATTCAGCGTAAGAGGATTTCCCAAGGGTGGGGCAGATGCTGGTTGTTATTGAGCATCAATTTGCATTTCTTTGGTCCAACTGGGTGGGGTTGAATCTCCGAGGGAGGAGCTGCTGCTTCTCCCCAGAGCTCCAGGAAGGAGCAAGATGGCCACTGTCTTTTTTTGCCACAACTCAGCAAAAACTCTGAGCACCCTCCAAATCTCAAGTGTCCCCACACAGTTCCAGTCCAGTCTGCCCTCTCTCTGCCGGAGCCCAAGGTGAGTGGATGTAGCTAATTTAGTGTTCTGTCCTGGCTCTCTGCACTGTGGAGCCAGCTTGGGATTTTAACCCCAAGGGTGCTGCTCACAGCTAAGACCACTGCTGTCCTTGGGCTCCCAGCCTCCCTCTCGCACCTCCAAGACCTACCAGGCTTGATTCAATGTCCCTGGTTATATGGTCCTCTCAAGTTGCTTTCCTGTTGCGTTTTCCTGACAATTTGTCTTTATTTTCTTTGTAATTCCAGTTTGGTCCTGGGAGATCGTCTGTGTAGCTCCTGTCACTCTGCTGCCATTTTGGAATCTCTGTATTTCCATATTTCTATTGACTGTTTAGGTTTTGTCTCCTATAATTATCTTGATCATATTGTTTTTGAATTTTTAGAAATTGTTTATGTATACTGGAACCAGATTCTCTAACATTTATATGTGTTGCCAACAAATGTACCTGAATAAATTTCCAGTCAATATTCAGTCTTCTTTATATAATGTTGGTCATTAATAGTCTGCAGTTTTACTCTCAAAGCTTTACAATTTAAATCTGTGATCCATTTGGAACTGGTGTTAGGAAAACGTAAAAGTAGGAGCACAATATTATTTCACCTGTACAGACCATTGCAGCACCACAGTTTAATGGACCCCAGTTCATTGCTGTGCATTTACTGTGTTCACACTTTAAGCTTCCGTGGACATGTGGGTCTGCTTATCATTTCTTTTTCTCAGTTCCACTGACCTGTCTGCCCTCACACTAGTACCATACTGTCATCAGCATTATGTCTTTACAATAAGTTCCAATATCTGGTAGACAAATTCTCACCTTGTTTTCCTTTAAAATTCTCTTAGTTATTTTTAGCTCTTTTGTCCTCCATATAAATGTTTTAAGTTTGTGAAAGTGCCTATAAAATTATTTCAAGCATTTGATTGAAATTACCTTGAATTTATAAGTTAATATTGGGGGGAAATGTAAGGTTTATGCAACTTGGTCATGATTGCCGATGGAAAACATCTTTTCTCCTGCTTCTCATATTTCTTTCTTGCACAGGGACCTTACTTTGTGTAATTGTGGGCTCCCTCTCCCTCTTTTATTCCCAGTTCCCAGGAAGGTGGAGTAATATGGCTGACTGGCAAATTTGAAAACAGCCTGGCATGCTCTGCTCTGCCTTTACCCTCTTGGGATTAAGCAGCCTGCTGGAGCCTGTGTTCCCCTGCATTCCAGGGACACTTCCCATTCACTGCCTCCAAAATGGGTGAAGAAGGCTGTCTAGCTATGATGTTCACTGGCAGCAAGTAACCTGACTAATTAAGTCTTTTCCCAAGAGTCTGAACATGATATTATGGTCTCCATATAGACACTCCCTTTATTCCTCAACTTGTTCAGATCCTGGGAAAGAGGGAGAATATCTGTTCACTGGAAACTCCTCTGAGGCCCTCACAATCATTTTTTTCACACATGGTGGGGGGGGATTTGATTGTGGATGTGTATTTTTAAGCTGTTTGCATTTATATTCACAAAGTAACTTTGGTTTTCATTTTTCTTTCTCAAATTTTACTTACTTTGTTGTCAAGGATACATTAGCCTCATGAAATGAGTTGGGAATGTTCTCTTTTGCCAATTATGGGAAAAGATTGCATATTAGATTAGTTGTTCTATAAATGTTTGGTAAAACTTTTCTATAACATAGTTGAGCCAAGTATTTGTATAAATTTTAAAATAACAAGTTAAATCACTTAATGGTTTAAAAATATTTGATATTTTACACACACACACACACACACACACACATACACACACACACTGGCTACTCTATGCTGTTAGTCTGCTTTCTTTTTTGAGAAAAATAAATATTGAGAAACACGGTAACTTTTTTCAATTATGTGTCTAATATAAAGTGTTCACGGTGCAACAGACACCATGTGCCAACAATCCAGTATAAAAAAGGGAAAAACTTTGTTATTGTTTTTTGTCCCCCTGGGGTAATAAACTAGGAAAAGAAATAAACTTTATTTTTTCAAAAGAATGAATAATAAGGCAAAAATGATGAATTATTATTTCAAATGTAAGGATTTCAACTCTATAAAGTATATTATAGACAAAATTAACAGATGATAGAATGTTAGAAACTCTTGCTCAAGTCAACAGCTAACAGGAAATTCAAATCTGGAATAAAGATTTAAATCTTTGACAGAGAACATCTAAAAAGCAACTTAATATAAACATTGACAAAAAATGTGGACAGGCACCCTGATCAGTCTGGCTGAGCAATTAGAGCATTGGCCTGTGGACAGAAGGGTCTTGGGTTTGATTCATGGTCAAGGGCACATACCTGGATTGTAGATTCAATCCCTGGCCCTGGTCAGGGTCTTGCAGGAGGCAACCAATCCACATGTTTCTCTCACATCAATGTCTCTCTCTCTCTCTCTCTCTCTCTCTCTCTCTCTCTCTCTCTCCCTCCCTCCTTCCCTCCCTCCCTCCCTCCCTTCCTCCCTCCCTTTCACTCCATCTGAAAATCAATGGAAAATATCCTTGGGTAAGGATTAACAACAACAACAACAAAATGTGGACAGGCAAGTAACATAAAAATAGAAATAATAGGACAGGCAAGTAAGATTCTAAGAAGAATATGAGATAATGATCAAATTTATTTGTAATGAAGGGGAGAAAAACATATAAAAATAAGATATTACTTTACAACTATTTTCCTGGCCAAGAAAAAAAAAAAAACTTAAAATGTCCACAAGGAATTCAAGAGATTGAAAAAACCCCGCTATGCACAATTAGTAAGAGTTTATGGTGCATACATTATGGAAAGTGGTCTCAGAAAACTTGGTTAAATTAAATATGTGCCTACCCTCAACTCAAAAATCTTGTTTCTAGGAATATACTGTAGAAAAATTTTCACAGTGAGTTATTTGCAGTGGAGACAAGTTGCAGGGAATCAGCTACTCATTGCTAAGAAAGCACACAGGTAAATGATGGTGGGTGGACATTGTAGAGCATGCTACTTAGTGTGTGGTCCATGAACCAGCACCAGCCCTTGGACTCTGTTTCCACTCTGTGACGAAATAGCTATAGTGAGGTTGAGTATTTGAAACTATTATAGAATTTTAACAATGCAGAGACCTTTCTATAGCTTTTTACAAAATATTGGTCTACAACAAATAAGAAATGTTATAAAGAAAATAGTTAGATAAACACTTCCATAAAAAACTCTACATGTCAGTGAGATCTTGGTTGCAGAAAAGAGTTACTAAGCAGGGAGGAAAGCTACAATGTGAATACCGAGATGAGTTGGAATAAGATCATAATAGAATCTGATCCTGTGTGTCAAGATTTCAGATGCAGTGACTAGTATTTACATACACTAAAGTTTCTCCTTAAAATACTGACAGCATAAAAAAAGCATAATTAAATAAAAATGTGTTTTATACACTCCCTAACTGATATATTTATGAAATGCCAATCAATTTTCACCTTGAGAATTCAGCTACTGATCCATGGCAATTTCTCCCAGCCTTTAAAATATAAGCGAATTATGTCATAGAAAATATTCTCTGACCCCACTATAAAACCAAATTACTATACCTTTTTTTTTTTTTTTTTTTTTGGTAAATCATAGGAAACTTTATACCATTTTCAATTCCAGAATTAATTAAAGGATCACAATAATCTTAGCTTTTTCTCTGCATTTTTTTTTTCTATGTATCTTCTCAGCTGACACAACCTTTGTTTGTCATGGAACAAAACAATGGCACTCAGGTGACTGAATTCATTCTCCTGGGATTTGCTGGTCGACACAAGTCTTGGTATATACTCTTCACAGTATTTCTTCTGATCTATGTGACCACCCTCGTGGGCAATACTGGGATGATCCTACTCATCAAGATAGATTCCTGCCTTCACACCCCTATGTACTTTTTCCTCCAACACTTGGCATTTATTGATCTCTGCTACACCTCTGCTATCACTCCCAAGATGTTGCAAAATCTTGTAGAAACGAAAAAATCCATCTCTTTCATAGGATGCATGGTGCAATTACTAGTCTATGGTAATTTTGCAACAAGTGACTGCTATATCCTTGCTGCAATGGCGGTGGACCGTTATGTGGCCATCAGTAACCCACTCCACTATCCAATAGTCATGACCCAGAGAGTCTGTATTCAACTCGTAGTTGGTTCATACCTCATGGGTTTCCTAAATGCCTCTGTAAATACAAGTCTTACTTTCTCATTGAACTTTTGCAAATCCAATAAAATTAATCACTTTTTCTGTGATGAATCCCCAATTCTTGCCCTGTCATGCTCCAACATTGATTTAAACATCATTGTCCTAATGGTCTTTGTGGGGTTTAACTTGACATTCACTGTGTCATTCGTCATCATTTCCTACATATATATCCTGGCTGCCATCCTGAAGATATCTTCATCTGCAGGGAGAAGAAAAGCTTTCTTCACATGTGCCTCCCACCTGACAGCAGTCACCATGTTCTATGGGACTCTTTCTTACATGTATCTGGACCATGGGACTCACGTGTCTCCAGAGCGAAAAAAAATGGCTTCTGTGTTTTACGGCATTATGATCCCCATGTTAAACCCACTCATCTACAGCCTGAGAAACCAAGATGTGAAAGAAGCCCTGAAAAGGATTGGAAAGAAGTGCTTCTAGTTTGTTCCTCAATTTCTACTTCTCTGTGCTTGTTAACAACCAGACCGGCAGTGCTAATTTTCAAGAAATCAAAACCAAAAAGTCAAACAACATGGAAAAGTTGCTCATTTTTACTAATCTTGAGCTGCAAATTAAAGTCACGGCCCTGGTCGGTTTGGCTCAGCGGTTAGAGCATCCGCCTGCGGTCCGGAGAGACCCGGGTTCGGTTCCCGCTAAGGGCATGTACCTCGGTTGCAGTTTGTCCCCGGCCCTGGTTGGTCGTGCGGGTGGCGACCACTCGATGTGTCTCTTTCACGTCGATGTTTCCCTCTCTCTCTCTTCCTCTCTCTCCCTCCCACTCTGTCTGTACAAAAAATGGAAAAATGTCCTCGGATGAGGATTAAAAAAATAAAATAAAATAAAGTCACGATGAGATAACCACTCTCTGCCAACGTCTGGCAAACATGGCAGGAGAATGATGACACCTGTTAATGGCTGTGATGTAAGGAAAATGATGCTCTCACATACTGTTAATGAAAATTGAAGTGTCACTTCACTTTAGAAGGAATCTGGTAATATATATTTTATTTTTTTAATTCCTCACCAGAGGATAATTTTTTATTTATCTGTAGATAGAGTGAGAGGGAGGGATAGAGAAACATTGATGTGAGAAAGATACATCAATTGGTTGCCTCCCACACGACCCTCACCAGGACCAGGGACCGAACCACAACTGAGGTACATGCCCTTGACAGAATAGAATCTGTGACTCTTTGGTCTGTGGACCAGCACTCTAACTGCTAAGCCAAACCCACCAGGACAGTAATATCTATTTTAAACAAAAATAATCTTCAATTCAGAATTTCAGCCTTGCAAATTGATCTACTCAAATAAAAGTTCCAGTCCATAAGAACATATATTTAAGAATGTTTATTGAAGCATTACTTAGGAAGACAAGACCAAAAAAACATAAATAGTCCTTAATAGGGAAATAAATATGTATTTGTTGTCAGTCTAGAATCTGTATCTATTGCTGTATAACAAATTTCCACAAAGTCAGGGGCTTGAAAAAAACACACAATCATTATTTTGCACTGTTATGAGTCAGGAATCTAGACACTGCTAAACTGTATCCTCTGAGATGCTACAACCAAGGTGTCAACCAGGACCAAGAACTCATCTGGAGGTCCAGCTGGGAAGCACCTGCTTCCAAGCTCCCTCATGTTATTGGCAGAATGTATCTCCTTGCAACTGTAGAACTGAGAGTCCTGCCTTCTTGCTGGCTGTCAGCCAGGGCCTGCTCCCAGACCTTAGAGATGATCCACAATTCTTTGCCACATGGCTTCCTCCATAATCCCTCTCATAACATGGCAGCTGACTTCTTCAAAGTTAGAAAACCACATATAGCTCATCAGTACATACACCGTGTGAGCAACACCTTTCATATGCCCAAATCTTATCAGGACTTCAATCGTCGCTTTCTCCCTGAAGTCTCTCCAGTTCAACACCTATTTCACACCTGTGTTCTACCCCTGGAAATAATCTCTTCTTCCACTGAAGACCCACAACACTTCACTGTATGAATAAATATTATTTTTATCACTTCCTAAATTATTTATTTACATAAAAGACCTTCGCTATTATCTATAAAGCTCTTGAGAAACACTGTTTCCTTTGACCTTTTAACATCTGGTGTAGAGCCTTAGACACAGTAGGTGTTCTATAAATATTGAATGAATGAATGCATGATGACAAAAAAAAATGAAAGCTAGACAGTTTTCCAGCTGTGAATGATGTGAGTATGTAGCCTACACTCATGGTCCCTAAATGTCATTCTGAGGACAACAGCATTTAAATGACCAGGGAAATTTGTTTTAAAGTGCCATTAACTATAGTCCAGCCCTGAAGGTGTTGATTCTATTGTATTTGATGGAGCCTAATATCTGCATCTGTTTATGCAGAATGTGGCTTTAATTGCATGTGCCATGAAGAGCACAGGATATAGAATCTTTTTTAATGTGGTTTATGTCCCAACCCAGCCACTTCCCAATAGTGTCCCTTTATAAGTAACTAAGCTTTCAAACCTTATTTCTCATAAGAATACATATCTTATGAGATTTTTACATGTTTTTTTTAGTAATAGATAAGAAAATGAATAGAAATTATAGTACCTGGCACTAGTAAACCCTCAATAAATGTTCATAGTAATAGCATTCACAAGGATTATTTCAACATGGGTGTGACAGACATTATAAGAATGCCCTCACCACACATGTGTGCACACACACAGTCAGTAAGCAGTCTCTCAAGGCTTGCAACGTAAAAAATTTCTCTTCTGGGAAACTCCTCTCTCCTTTAGCAGAAAATTAACTAACAAAGGTTGTTTTCTTTGATCCTGTCTCAGCATGTAGGACCACAGATGTTCAATGTAACAGGTATTAATCCCACAGACTTTGTTATACACTGTCTTTGTGGAGAAATCACTGGGTGAGCAATCAGTTTTCACTGGCCTGGGAAGAAAATCTAAAGACAGCACTCCTGTATATAAAGCAAATTGCATTTTTCCTACTCAGCTGAACATTATTTCAGCATCTGAGGACCACAGAAAAGTCCATAGGATTAGAGCCAATAGGCCAGCCTGATTAACTCCAAGGTTTCGTAGAGTCATCTTCAGCAAAATAAAAATATAAATTGAGAGAGGAAATTATTGATGGTATAGAGAAGTTAGAAAATGGCTCTGGAGACTTCCGGTCAAGATGGCGGCGTAGGTAAATGCGGTATCGCGTCCTCCCACAACCACATCAAAGTTACAACTAAACTACAGAACAACCATCATTCAAAACCACCTGAAATCAAGCTGAATGGAAGTCCTACAACTATGAAATTAAAGCAGCAGCCACATGCAGACTGGCAGGAGGGGCAGTGGCGCGAGGGGCTGGTCCCACACCCAAGTGTGACGGATGAAAATCAGGAGGACACCTCGGCTGGGAAGGTCCTCCCTGAGGACTGAGGGGTCCCTGTTCCACACCAGGTACCCTGCTCAGGGTTCCAGTACCAGGAAGAGAAGTCCCCATAACTTCTAGCTGGAAAAACCAACGGGAACTGAGGCTCAGGGAAGCTGAAGTGGCTGGAGCCCCAGGCAGCTCCCTAAAGGGCCTGCGCATGGACTTATCGGACTCTCTCCCTCTAAGCTTGGAGGGGAGGCACCTCGAGGGGCACCAGAGACATACAGAGAAGAACTGAGCTGTTTGGCAATGGAGCAAGGGCTGGAGAGGGGGCTTTCTCATGGACAAACGTGCTGTCAGAGGCCTTTGTTCCTTTGGTGAGCCCTTCCTAGGGGTGGCAGACAGTCGCCATATCTGGGACTCCAGCAACCTGGCTCACACTGGTAGCCCCGCCCTGCTGACTCCCTGAGGCCTCGCCCCACCCCACCCCACCCAATTTTCAAGCCCACCCAAGCTGTTGCCACTTGCTTAACCGTAGGATTGGCCTGTCTTGGATCCTGCTTCAGGTTTTTCCTAACTTCTTTCAAATGAGCAGCATCTGGTCTCAGCGAACCCCATACCTCTAGTTAAGTAATACACTGAAACAAACACAGGGAGGCAGCCAAAATGAGGAGACAAAGAAACAGTTCCCAAATGAAAGAACAAAACAAAATCCCAATAAAAGAACTAAGCGAAATGGAATAAAGCAACCTAACAGATACTGAGTTCAAAATACTGCTTATAAGGATGCTCAATGAACTGAGTGAGAACCTCAGTGAACTTAGGGAGGGCCTCAAGAGCATAAAAAAGTACCAGTCAGAAATCATGGATACACAGTTAGAATTGAAGGAGGCATTAACTGAAATAAAGAATAATTTACACAGCTTCAATAATAGAGTACGTAAATCCAAGGAGCAAACCATCGATTTGGAATATAAGGAAGCAAAAAATGCCCAATCAGAACAGAAAAAAGAAAAAAGAATCCAAAAAAATGAGGAGAGTGTAAGAAGCCTCTGGGACAACTTCAAGCGTGCCAACATTCGCATCTTGGGGGTGCCAGAAGGAGAAGAGCGAGAACAAGAAATCGAAAACCTGTTTGAAACAATAATGGCAGAAAACTTTCCTAACTTGGTGAAGGAAACAGACATACAAGTCCAGGAAGCACAGAGTCCCAAACAAGATGAACCCCAAGAGGCCCACACCAAGACACATCATCATCAAAATGCAAAAAGTTCAAGACAAAGAGAGAATCTTAAAAGCAGCAAGAGAAAGGCAGCTAGTTACCTACAACAGAGTTCCCATTAGGCTGTCAGCTGATTTCTCAAAAGAAACTTTGCAGGCCAGAAGAGAGTGGCAAGAAATATTCAGAGTGATGAAAACCAAGAACCTACAACCAAGATTACTCTATCCTGCAAAGCTGTCATTTAGAATCGATGGACATATAAAGACTTTCCCAGACAAGAAAAAGTTAAAGGAGTTCATCACCACCAAACCTTTATTATATGAAATGATGAAGGGTCTTTTTGAAGAAAAAGATAAAATATATGAACAAACAAAATGGCAATGAATACATATCTATCAACAATGGAATCTACAAACAAAATTAATAGGTAGAACAGAAACATTCTCATAGATACAGAGAACATTTTGTTGGTTGCCAGTTGGGAGGGGCGGTTGGGAGAATGGGTGAAAAAGTGAAAGGATTAAGAAGTACAAATTCATTGCTAAACTGACAAACCTCAAAGGGAAAGGGGTTGGGGGGGGTGGGAAGAAATAAACCAAAGAACTTATATGCATAACCAATGGACACAGACAATAGTGTGGGAAAAGGTGGGAGGGGGGCGGGAGTGGGGAGGAGGGGGTCAATGGGGGGAAAATGTGGAACATCTGTAATACATTTTACATCCAACAATAAAGATTTAAAAAAATAAAATAAAAAGAAAATGGCCCTGGAGATGAGGGCTGACATATCAACCATAATGTTCTCAACTGAACATAAACAACCTTTGCAGAATATAAGCAATAATTAGACAAGGC